ACATAGAGGATTCCGATTTCAAAAATTGATGATTTAGTGTTTGATAATTTATCTCTATGTGTAAAAGAGATGTGCTTGTGGTTTGGAGGAGAAAAAAAAATGAGTATGAATTTGTGTGTGAGAGAGAGATAGAGAATGAGAGAAAGAGAGAGAGAGAAAGGCTCCGAATGGAGAACGCATATCATAAAATGCAGATCAAACAAAAATGCAGATCAAGCAGAACAAACGCAGATCATGCAGAACAAATGCAGATCAAAATTAATTTAATAAATTAATATATTTAAATAAATATAAAATAAATTTTAAATTAAAATTAAGTATCTAAACAAATACACCTTCTTATAAATAAGTAATAAATATCGCGTTGACACAAATAACAATAAATATCATCATTTTATTAATATAGTAAATTTAAAATTATATGAAAATTTATCACAAATAAAAATTATGAATAGTATTCTTGTTTGCAATTTTTTAATATTTTATTCAATTTAGTATTTTTTACCATTTCGTTCATCTAAAAACCTAATATTTTCATTTTTATATATTATTGCATCAAAATTGTGGATATATTAAATATATTAATTATATTTAGGTGTTTATAGAATTATTTTTATTCTATAAAATAATTTCGTTTTAAATAAATTATATCATAAACTAAATATTATTTTAAAAATCTAATTATGTAATTTAAAAGTAATAACGTGAATTAATTAAATATATTACATATTAAAAATTAATAACAAAATTAATTAAATTTATATTTTTTGTGAACTTTTTGTTTAGTTTGAAAGTGAACTTATACATTTCAAACATTATATTATTCTTTAGTGAACTAATATATTTTAAATGCTACAAAATAACATGCATAGATAATTATTGTAAAAACAAAAATTAAATTATTAATTTATAAAAAAAATTTGTAATTTTTGTAGACATAATGATAAAAGATAATTTTTATATCAACTTTTGAATTTATATACTAAATATTTATAATTTATGTAAATATATTGATAAAAGATAATATATGAAATAATATTTTTATTTTATATATCATTTATAAATAAATTCATCTATAAATAAAGTATTACATAAAAACAAACCCAAGAAATATTAAATCTTATGTTTGAAAAAAAAAATATGGTTTAATGATGAATGGAATATATTTATTAAGATTATAATTCATAAGCAAATAATAGAGACAATAAAAATAAAGCTAACATGATTTTCATTGGTCATCTGCATCTCTCCCAGCTGATTTTTTTCATGTTCATGCAGATCGAAATTTAATACATATATTTGGCCTGCATGCAGATTTTATTATTTTATCATTTATATTTTGTTCTGCAATTAATAAGTTGAATGGGGAACAATTACAGATCAATCTGCAGATTAACTTAACTGCATTTATTCTGCATTTAGTTCTGCAATACATTCAAAGCCAAAATATAGATGAATGTATAGTTTAGGAAATGTGTTTGGGCTGGGCTCGACTTTTTGGTTCGGTAGGGCTCGATCTGTTTGGGCTCGAAACGATGCAGGCCCACTCACAAAATTGGTGAGTTACATCTAACACTATTAAAAGATGCAAATGAAGCCCTATAAAGCTGTCCACGTCGACAATTATATTCAGCCAATAGGTGTCTTTTATTCTGCCACGTAAGCGCCAACTGGGAAATGTGTTTGGGCTGGGCTCGATTTTTTGGTTCGGTAGGGCTCGAAACGATGCAGGCCCACTAACGATTCTTCGTCTCTTCCACTTCGCCTCTCCGCTGATCTTTTACTCCAGAGATAATAAATTCTTCTCTCAATTCCTAGGTTCCCCTATCCTTCAACGTATTAATTCTTCACAAAAATAAATTATTTCAAAGTGAAAGAAAAGCCTCAGAAAAAAGGAAGCAGCTTCAAGTTAAATCTATGAGATTTTCATCAGGTAAACTATCGTATATTTGTATATGAGATTTTACAAAATTTATTTTTTGAAGATTGTTTGCTTCAGATGTCTAATATGAAGGAAGCCAAGATAATTCCTCTGTTTGATCACTTTGAACCGATGATTGTTGTAATAGCTCTTAGATTTGACTGGTTTTGTTGATTAGATTTCGAGTAAACATATAAAAGTGTTTTCCTTTATAACTTAATTCTTATTCAAAGCTTCCATATTCTTTCCTCCAGTGTTCCTTACCTCATGAGAAGGCTATTGTTTTCATGGTATCCACTACAGGGCAAGGAGACTCTCCAGATTCTTTTAAGGTTTGTCGTCAATTTCCGACAGCCCTGATAGGCCTAACATTAAAATAACAATATCCATGCCACCAACAAGGCTGCAAACAATGTTGGATCTTGAATGGCAAAAGGAACAGTATAGACAAATTGAAGGTTTTAGTAAAGATCTCTTTCACAACTTCTTCAAACCATTTTGTTTATGTGAGGACATCTTGTTGTTTACTCCGCAATTCATCCCTTGAAGAGCACATTGTTTCCTCTATGTGATTTTCCTCGTGCACGGTGTTTTTTTTAATTGGTATCATATTTTTTTAACATATGTATATGTGTCTTGTGTATATTTAAATGTACATATGACCAGTTGTACACAAAATATTTATTATCTCCATGTACAACAACTCACATTTACATGATCGGATGTACACAAAATATTTAGTATGTACATGTACTCACATGTGTATATATGTGTTTTGTATATATTTATATATACATGATCAGGTGTACACAAAATGGGTTTTTACCATCTTAATTTAGTAAAAAGATTTGTATTTGACATGGTGTAAAACTTTGACATGGTGTAGAAGAAGAATCTAATTTATTTACAATAATCCATGTATATAGTGTACATATTTGTACATTTTCATTTGACAGGGTTTATTATGCACGATTCAAAGTCTAGGACAAAATCAAGAGAATATTTATGCATAATAGAAAGTTTCTGTCCCGAAACAAAACTCCTCTAAGACTCTAACAATCAATAGTACAATTATTGAGAAGTTCGCAATGTAGAATCTGAAAGTCTAGACTGATTTGAAAGGATGTTTTTCAAAATGCAAAGTTTGGGGATGATTTATAAATAACAAGAAGTTATGAGAACCAATTATAAAAATAAATAAAATTCATCACTGACGGAGCTTTCGAGCTTCTTGATCTGAATATGGCGATGACGGCAAGATGTGACTACTACGAAGCTTCAGGACAGGCTGTCACGGCTCGAACTGAGGTCATACCGACGATACCCGAGCACAGCCGCGACTTGATGATGAACCACGGCGAGTAAAGCTTTCAAGGATGAACTCATCTGGTGGTCCATATAAGTACTACAACTGGAGTGAACTCGTTATGATTCTCGCTAGAAAAAGGTAAATATTAAATCACAGGGCGTTTTTGAGATAATTGATCGATTGAACTAACGATGATTTAAACTTACACGATAAAAAAAAAAACATGAAAACTCGACGTAAAAGTTTATTTTTTTTAAAAAAAATTTGTATATTCAATTTTTTGTTACAATAAAAAGGGAAAAAACAAGAGAAAAATATATATTAGAAAAGTGTTCAGTTAATTAGTAGCTGAACTGGAAATGTTAGGATCCAAATACTATTTTTTTTTTTTTGAATAAAACCAAATACTATTTAAAAAAAATGTTCTAGTAGAAAAATGTGTCTTAGAATGAAATCATATGTAGAAAAGTGACCTATAATGTATATCTTTCAATATTTATACAATGGCTGTCAAGAATTTAACATCCCCTATTAATGGGTTTCTCTCTTTCTCTTTTTGGGCCAGACCCAAACTCAGCTCTCATTGTCTTCAAACACAACCGGTTAGCTACAAGCAAGTAAACTGTCTTAGACCGAGATAAATCGGAACCAGGCTCACCCTCACCCAGTCACACCTACTTGGCGTCTTTCATCTCACTTCGCAACAAGTCAACTCTGGCAGGCGTTTTTCAAGAAAGAGAAAAGAGTGTATTGTCCCTATCAATTGCTTTCGTTGCTATAAACAACTCTCAACATCTAATTATATCTTGCAAAATTGTCCTCTCATACGATTTCATGAAAATTAATAAGAAAACATCTATCTTATTAAAGTAGAAGTACTTTAACTTTTTGTTTGGAAACATGGATAGCAGTATCTATCTTATTAAAGTAGAAGTACTTTAACTTTTTGTTTGGAAACATGGATAGCAGTATTTAAAATAAGTAAGTTTGGAAACATAGATATCAATATTTAATAAGATCTGGTATTTATTGTTACAAAGATTTGCTATTTATTTAAAATCGTAAATATAATTAATTTTAGTCACTAACAATATTTAAGAATATTCGTTTTTAACAATAATTCGGGTCGGATTACGGGTCGGA